AATAATGACAATTGAGAGAAGGAAAAAGAGAGAAAAAAAATCCAAAATAGGACAGGAATAGGAACAAAGGGGGAGAGAAATGTAGAACAAGGAGAGAGGAGAGAGAGAGAGAGAGAGAGAGAGAATATATATATATATATATGTATGTATATATATATATATACATACATACATATATATATATATAATTTTTTTAAAAGACAATGTGGGCAGCAATGTGCAGATCTAAGTTGATTAGTCTCAGTAAGCCTGAGGTTCAGGCTGACTTCTGGCTGCAACGCCCAAGGTGAGGTTCCTGACATCCTGCAGGGTTGAATTTTGCAAGGTTCTACTGCAGGTTCCAGCTGCCCTTTTCTTGAAGTCTGGGTACCTGTGGGAGGGGCTGATTCTACCAATTTACTAACCATGGTGGTCCAGTGTGCCTTTACTACAGAGATTTTCTTCATTTTTTCCAGTGGGCTTCAATTTTCATTGAGGAACCTCAGAGAGACCCTCTCTCTGTTGTTCACATCTGCTCTATCTTCTGGAGCTCACAACCATGGCCTATATGGCTCACCTGGCGCCACTGCAGAGCAGATTCAGACACCACATGGCCCACTAAGAGTGCTCCAGGGGTGGTGCTGTCCTCTGTGCCCTGGTTCCAGCATGGTGCTGGCCTCAGGGATGTGTGTATATCTAGTGCAGTAATATAGTTACCCTAGAGTGGAAATACATACCTATATGCATATATATGTTCATAGGTGTGAGTTATATATATATAAAACTAAATAAGTATTCTTTTGAGTTAGGTAGTCTCCTCTTGTCTCCTCTGCATTTTACTGGAGGTAGGGGAAGGTTGGCTATCTTGGTTTCCACTGTACTTGGCTTCCTCCGATGCTCTGCCTGTCAGTTCTCTCTCTGGTCCTTTGATGCAAATGCTTAGCCATTTGTGCTATTGGTGCCTTTTTATATCTGCCCTTGTCCTTTTAATTGTTTCTTCAGTAAAGTTTCAACTCTTTCAAGTCAGAATTAGCTTGGAAACTAATGAGGCCCTTATTTTATTCTTTCCCTGCCTACAGACCCTATTCTCATATTTCTCTTCATTCTGCTCAGTGATGCTGAAAATTTTTCTGCAAAGTTATATGGCTTTGGCCCAATTTTACCTATGAAAAACAAAAATCCCTGGAAGTATAACATCACTTTAAGCCTTGCATTATTAATCATTCATACTTAATTAGTTTATCAGATCTTTCACTGAGAGGGGCAGAGAGGAAAAGGAACATAGAGCCAAGAAAACAAAAGAAGAAAGAAGGAGAAGAGATTTACTAGGCTTATTCTACAATTTTACCTAGTGCAGGTCTTGTGTCTGAGATTCTCCCCTCCCACAATTTCATATTCTACTTACATAATGGTTTAATCATTCCATCAGAAGAAAAAAGTAATTTCTTATAAAATACATATTTTGGTATAAGGGGAAAAAGCAAAACTCAAAGTTAAAAAGGGAGAGGCTAATCAAGACACAGATGGGTCATAATAATGAATGACACACACACACACACACACACACACACACACATATATATTTTTTTGGGGGGGGTACTAGGGATTGAACCCAGGTCCTTGTGCTTTCGAGGCAGGCAGCAGAACCACTGAGCTAAATCCCTGGCCCATGAATGATATATTTTAATAATGTACAGTATAATGAAATAAAACTAAAATGACACTCAGTTATATTGAAGTTTTATTTCAACATATTATAACAAAATTAAGTGTCCCAAGAATTTTGTTTTGTGTAGTTTATAACATCTATGAAAACATAAATCTCTCTCTGAGAAAAGCATATAAAAAATGGAGCTGTTTGGATTAAACAGACTTGTTAATATAATCACTGTCAGGTACTTCTAGCTTTTCCCAATGCTGAGGTAGTTCAACAAAGAGCTGTCCTTTGTTTCTTTTCTTTTTTTTTGTTGTTTCTTAGTGGATGCTTCTCTCTTTGAATTTTAACACGATAAAGTAAAATAAGCAGTTCTGCACTCACTATTCTCCACTGGTAATGTTACTCAGAAAATAAAAATTTGCCTGACAGAAAGGAACAGAAGTATAAACATTAAAAAAGAGAAAGGAGTCATTCAACACTGCTTATGTCACCAGAGATTTAAAATGCTAGCCTCTGAAAGAACAAACCCCTAATGTTTTTAGATTTGAAACATAAAATTCACTCATTCACTCACTTATATTTAAATATAAAACTTTAAGGACAAGTGCATTTGACTCACCAGAGTTTTGTTTCTTCTGTGAGCTCGTGCGATCAATCAAGGATTCAAAAAATGTTCAGGACTAACCATCACTTTTTGCTCTAACTCCACTCTATACAGTCTAGTGTGTACATTTTATTTGATTAAGAGAAATAAAGTATACTAACTTCTAGAGAAGTGTTCAACTTTGGATTTGATAAATTGTTTGAGGTTCAACATCACTTTACAATATTTGATTACATGAGTGTGTTAGGAGCATGAGTTCAACAATTGAGATTAATTGAAGAGTAGATCTGCAGTCATACCCATTCAAGGGAAAGAGAAGACTGGAGAAGAGCAGAGCAGATTAGTCAAGGATGTGAGATTTGGAGACAACCTATGTTCGAATTTTGGCTTCACCATCTGCTACTGTTTGTGGGCCTTTGATGAGTCACTTTCACACTTAGTTCTGTAGCTTCTGCACCAGCAAACTGGAGATAATAGTACATGAAGTGGTTGTAAGGATTAAGAGTTAATTATGTAATGAACTTAGCTTAGAGTTAGGCTCATTGTGAGCACTCAATAAGATGTTACTGTACTCATTTTTTATTGGATAAACTAGAAAATGATTTATTTCAAAAGGGGAGAGTAGAGTTGGTTGCATGTAATGAGACCAAAGAGAATATGGTAAAGGATGTTTGTAACTCAAATGGGCTCTTTGCTTTAGAATTTAGCATCCAGCGACCAGCCCCATGGATTTCCTTGGGGGTGAAGGTTTAGTCTGTCAGGCAACTGGAGCCTGCATTTTATCTTAAAACACCTGCTGGTCCCAGATATGAAAGACTTCTCTTGGGCAGTGATCCCTTTCAAGCTACACTTCACTCAATGTTGTATCCCTCAAAACAAATCCAACTTATTATGAATCATGAAGAAATTTTTTCCTTGAAGTTGTCTTGGCAGAGGGCTGAGGATGAAAAGTAGAGAATAAGGTGAATAATGATTCATATTGCTCAATGTACAACAAAATTTAATATAATTCATTGGATGTGTCTATTCTTCATCTGCCATCTGTCTAACTTCCTTTCTCTTTCCCATACCACCTTCAAAAGGCCTTTCTTTTGTCCCATATAGATAAGCTCTGGCTCTCTGCTTACGTTTTTCAACCAAACCAGAAGCTGGGCATTAGACCAATAGTGACCACCATGCCTCCTTGTGATTCCCTACACTTCCACATGCCACTTGTCATAGCCACCCAACACAAGTTAATCTCTCCCCTGGAAAATGTGTTTGTAAGAAAAATTTCCACACCTATGCTTAAAGTAGGCAGTGAGTTCTGAAACAGTGGTAGTTTTATTTTTTAATCTAGAGCCACTTGAGGATCTGGCAGCAGTTTTTAGGAGAGGAACTCAGGAAAATTTGAAAAAAATGAAACAAGGAGTGAAAAATCTTGTATATATAGGGATAGATTTAGCATTATAAACCTTCAGAAATTTTTTGTTTGAAGGCTTTTCCCCCTTAGTACCAGGGATCAAACTGAGGACCTTGTGCTTATGAGGCAGGCATGGTACCACTGAGCTAAATGCCCAGCCCTTGAAGGCTTTTAAGAGAAAGGGAAAGGAAGGAGAAAAGCCATAAGAAATTTAACAAAAATATATCATTAAAGGTAAAACCATAACAATGAGCTAGTATTTTATCTTAAGATTTTTGTCAAAAAATCCTTGGCAGAAGAGGCAACAATACCAACACTGTGACATTAACATTTATTTGGAATCTTTTATTTATTTATTTTTTGGTTTTTTGAGACAGGGTCTCACTATGTAGTTGAGACTGACCTGGAACTCACTATGTAGCCCAGGCTGGTCTTGAACTCACAGCGATCCTCCTTCCTCAGCCTTCCAAGTGCTGGGATTGCAGGCATGTGCCACCATGCCCAGCTATTTGTTTTTGGTGCTAGGGATTGAACCTAGGGCCTCATGCATGCTAGGCAAGAACTTTTCCACTGAGCTACATCTCCAACTCTGAAGTCTGTCTTTTTTTTCTTAAAAAAGCAAGACAAAAATAAACAAACAAATAAAAAGTGGTTCTGTACCTGCTTATCAAGACTTAAGTGGACTTTTTGGATATTCTGCTATGCTTCAAAAGCTCATTAGATTTTTCATTAAATCTGCAAATTTAAAACAAGAACCACCCTCCCCTATATATTCTATCTAGGTACTAAAGATTTTGACAGGAAAACAAAACAAAACACATGTTGGGGGTAATTAAATGGAAGGAGGTACATTTGTGCTGGCATTGCTTATATCTATAAAAAGAAAGAGGGTACATTGTTTCTTCTGTGGCTTCTTATAGAATTAGCTCTCACCTGATGTCGACTGCCTTACGTTTCTAGGTAGAGAGACAATCCAGGAGCTTCCTCAGACAGCAAACTGTCTGTTCAGGTTCTGCTTGGGACTCCACTCTCTGGATTCAGAACAGAGCCTGGGAGGCAAGGATGCGCAGAGAGGGCTCAGGATCATGCAGCAGATCTTTCAGATCTAAGTGGTATGAAAACTGAGTTGTAGGTGAAAAGCTCTGAGATTTCTGGAAATGAGCACTTCTCCAGACACCAAAAGGCCAAAATAACAACTTTTTCTAAGACTAGTATCTAAAAGTTTGTTTGTGGATGGCATGATTGCTATTTTGATCTACAAAACCTACCAGTTTCTGAGTTGCTAAATATTTCACTCCTTTGCAACAATCACATGCTACATGGTTTATCTAAAGTCATATTATCTGGCTGGGTGTGGTGGTGCACACCTGTAATCCCAGCACTCTGGAGGCTAAGGCAGAAGAGTTGCAGCAAATTCGCCTGAAGGACATAACAAGGCTCAAAAAATAATAAGTCAAATCATCTGGATCTGTCAATCCATGTCTAATGTTAACATCTAAATTCTCATGTTTGTCTTAGATGTAATTCTTTAATCATTATTTCCTTCTAATATTTTAAAAACTTTTAGTTATGTTTTTAAGAAATATATGTTTATTGTATAGAAAATGTAGACAATATACATAAGCACTAGAAGAAAATAAAAGTCACTCATAAGCCAGGCATGATGGCACTTTTCTGTCATCTTAGCACTGTGGGAGGCTGAGGCAGGAGTATCGCAAGTTTGAGCCCAACCTGGTGACTAAGGGATGTAGCTCAGTGCAAAAGCCCTGGGTTCAATCTCTAGTATTGCAAAAACAACAACAACAACAAAACCCCCCAAAAAACCCAATCCATAATTCTATTACTTAGTTATTTTGACTATCTGTATCTTTCTTTTTTCCATGCATTTATGTATATATGTATGCTTTTATTTCTGTACAAATGGAATCATATGATCCAATAATTGATTGGCCCCTTGATGGCATCTCATCATTCTTTATATGAATCACTTAAAATTATTCTATGTTTATGACTATATGATTCTACAATATGGACATACTATAATTTAACTAATTCCATTTTTTTCTGGGGGGGATACCTGGGATCGAACTTGGAATCTTGCACTTGTGAGGCAGGTGGTGTCACCACTGAGCCAAATCCCTGGCCTAAATTCCTTATGTTTTGTAGTCTAGAATATTTTCCATTTTCACTATTCTAATTTTGAAATGAACATTCCTGAAACTATTTCTGCCCATTTTCATAAGTTAAATTTCTAGAAATAGCATTGATGAGTTAAAGTATAACTTTTTTTTTCTGGCCAGTACTGTGGAATGAACTCAGGTCCCTCACACTGAGCTACATCCCTAGCTCACATCCATCGTTACTTTTCTTTCTTTCTTTCTTTCCTCATTTCACACAATGTCTTTTTAAATTGCTCAGGCTAGGCTCATACTTGCAATGACTTTTGCCTCAGCTGCCCAGAAAGTATAGCTTATTTTTGATTTGTTTGAGACATGTTTCATTATGTAGTTCAGGTTGGCCTTGAACTCACCACCTAGCCCAGGCTGACCCTGAACTTTAGGTGGTCCTCCTGCTTCAGCTTCCCACGTGCTAGGATTAAAGGGTATAACATGCCTGCAATGGTTATTTATTTATTTATTCAGCATTGCTTATTTTAAATCAACTTTAAAAAGAAACAGACAAAACTGAAAAGCAAACAATAAAGGAAAATAGTTGCAACATTGTTGCAGAATTTAAGAGACCAGAGAGACCAATGGGTGAAACAGGAGGATTTATTTAGGTGCTCATTAGCCCAGTGGATTCATATCCAAAGGCTGAGCCCCAAAGAAGAGGCTCTAGTGCTATGCACATGGCTGAAGGGGTTGGTCTTCCTAGGGGTGAATGAGTTTGCAGAAGCAGGACAAAGGCAGTTAAACAAGTTGTGACAGTTTTGCAACTTAGCATATGTTGGTGGAATAAAATAGCATTTTATAGAAGCAAGGGGTCATAAAACCTTACTCACAGAGACAAAGTTAACAACAAGCCATGGGAAGGAGGGAAGTCTGGGGTCTTGGGAGACTTGTTTTTCCTTTTTTTTAAAGTTCTGCTTTAATATGATTAAGGGTTAATATCTCTAAAATAAATCAATATATTCACAAAAGAAAAATGAGAAACAATATGAAGAAGCAGGTCATAGAGGACTTACAAATGTCTAATAGATGAAAAAAGTTGGTCTTACTAGTAATCAGAAGTTTGCAAAATAAAACAATGAAATGCCAATATGTGCTTTTCTGTTAACAATTAATCAACATTGATATGGTAAGGGAGAACTGGTATTATCATATACATGCTTGTATGAATATAAATTGATACCTTTTCTTGACATGCTGGGGATTAAACGCAGGGCCTCAAAAATTTTAAAAACTTTTTATCGAGACAAATATAGCACTGTCTTATTTTGTGGATACTTAGGGTTGTCTCTGTCTCTGTGTCTATCTCTGCCCCCCTGCCTCTTTCTCTCTGTCTCTGTCTCTCTCTGTCTCTCAGTCTCTGTCTCTGTCTCTTGTCTTTCTCCCTCTCTCTCTGTCCCCCCACCCATGTGTGCTGAAAATTGAACCCAGGACACTGTAGATTAAGCTACATCTCCAGTCCAGTATTTATTTTGAAATTGGCTCTTGCTATGTTGTTCAGGCAGGACTTGAACTTGAAATCTTCCTGCCTCAGCCTTCCTCAGTGTTGGGTCTATAGGCATGTGGCACTGTGCCCTTCTAAGCTTCTTTTTTTTGGCGGGGAGAAGTATTCCATTAGGCTAAGCCACATGAGATTGCTGATATTTGACAGTATTTTTGCTGTTTTGTTTAAGTGTTTTCGAAACAGGGTCTCACTATGTAGTAGAGACTGACCTGGAACTCACTATGTAGCCCAGGCTGGTCTCGAACTCACAGCGATCCTTCTGCCTCAGCCACATGAGTGCTGGATTACAGGCATGTGCCACCACATCTGGCTGATATTTGACAGTTTTGATCAGCAATTTCATACAGCTTATCCTACTGCGTATGCATATGGCTTTTCATACATGCCCTCAAGCTTCCAGAGAGCCAACTTTGGAAAAGAAACTTTTATTCCAAATATTTTAGATTAGAAATAATTTTCTTTCTTTCTTTTTTTTTTTGGTACTGGGGAATTGAACACAAGACCTTGTTCTTGTGAGGGAGGCACAGTGGCACTGAGCTAAATCCCCAGCCAGAGAAATAATTTCCTTTTAATGAAGATAATCAGTTATTAGAAATCTCTCAACAGAATAATTTGCATTGCTTTTTCCTTTCATTTTGCTTCTGATAACCATGAAGAAATGAGAGACCTAAGAAGAAAAGTGGCATCATCTTTCTTAAATAAGTATTAGCCCCTATCACTGTTAGTTATAACGGTTTTACATTTTAAAAGCAATAAGCTGTTCAGGATTTTCAAAGTAATTTTTTTCTGCTCAAATATCAACACTGCTAGAAATGAGTATTCTCATTCTTTTTTTTTCTTTTCATTAAGTTTACTGATACTTTTTAGGTATATAGTACAGTTACATTCATCACTGGCATCTTGTACTTTTTTTTTTTTCTTGTACCAGGGATAGAACTGAGGATCTTGCGCTTGCAAGCAGGTGGTGGCACCACTGAGTTAAATCCCCAGTCCTCATGGCATTTTCAAAATTGTAGAACTACTTCTTTTTTTTTGGTACCGGGGATTGAACTCGGGTCCTTGCGCTTGCAAGGCAGGCCACCGAACCGCTGAGCTAAATCCCCGGCCCTAGAACTACTTCTTAAATGAGAATAAACAATTATTGGACACTAAATCTCTAGGATTGTACAATTATAGAAAATTTTCATTTGCTAGCAATTCTGAAAACCATTTACATGATGGTTACCTTACATGAATATAAAACATGCCTGAAGGAAATAGTGGGCTGCAGCCATCACTGTGGTACTTGTGAGGTATTTTCAGTTTACCCCTACATGTGGTGGCGTATGCTTATAATCCCAGCACTCTGGGAGGATAAGGCAAGAGAATTTTGAGTTTGAGCCCTGCATAGCAATTCAGTGATTTAAGGAAACCTTGTCACAAAAATAAAATTAAGAAAAAGAGCTGGAGATTCAGCGGGGTTCAGTAAATGACTTATTTCCTGACAGAAACGTTTAGGAGCTGTTCTGAAGACATTCATTAAAGCTGATTTCAGAAAAATAAAGTCATGACCTTTCCTAAGGAGGACACTCAACTGGGATGAGATTGTCATTTAGCTGAAGTCACCAGTGATTTTGAGTTTCAACTCTGCTACAGGGTCTGCCCATAGTCACTGCCTCAGGTAGTGTCCAAAATGTGGATACACTGCAAATCCAAGGGGTACTGTCACTTACCATTTTGTATCCAGTCAGTCCCCTTCATCCTGGCCTCACTGTGATCCATGTACTTTGATAAGAGCCCTAAATACAGGATGAAGTCAGTGAATATGTGATCTTGCTTCTCTTGGAAACTAAAACCTGTTTTTAATCTTTAAAAAGTCTAAGCAGCTGGTAAAATTGGCCCTTTGAAAATTAGGCAGATTCAAAAAATGACTTCAGAGTGCATGATAGTTACCTATTGATAACATAGCCCATTTTTCCTAGAAGTGTTTTCAGGGACAGCTTCATAAAGGATAGGGTTACTCAAGAAAAGGACTTGGGAAAGTACAGGATAAAAATGTAGAGATAAAAGGATTTTCTTTGTACCTACAAATAAGACTGCTGTTCTTCTGATGGAAAGTTTTGCATTCTTGGAGTACATCAATGTTTGGGCAAGGATGTCAATTTTACCCTTGCATTTTTTTCCCTAAGTGGGGAAAGAATAAGAGTACAAAGCAGTGAAGTACCAGCATTGTTCTGATCAGCCTAACTATAGTTTCCAGGGTTAGGGAGTACATCAGATACCAAGTATTGTAGTGCTTGAAGTAGCTACACTGAACACTACCAATGAATATTATGCCACAACCAATAAGTTCCTATACAAAAATAAATCCTCTGAATATCCCTTGCCCATAACCACTCATGCTATGTATCATTATCTGTGATACTTTCAAAGCTATCCTAGCTTCTGGAAATTGAACTTGGGGCCTTTCCATTGAGCTACATCCCAAGCCCTTTAAATTTTTTTTATTTTGAGATAGGAGCTTGATAAATTGCCCCAGCTGGGCTCAAACATGAGATCCTCCTGCTTCAGCCTCCCAGAGTGCTGTGATTACAGTCATGATCCATCATGATCATCTCTAAGCTACATCTTGAGCTCTTCTTCCCTATGAGCTCTTCCCTAACTACTCATTTGTGTGACCTAAACTTGCTCTGAGTATTTCTCTCTTGGTACATCTTATTTTTCACTTTAAGTTTCTATTTAATTTTCCAGAGGTTTTATCTTCCTTATTAGCTTGCAAGATCCCAACTGGAGGTCTAAAGTCTTGGGTTCCTTCATGTATATTATACATTGGATGTGTTATGCTTATTGGGTGAATGAATGCACCTCTCAATGGATATCTTACTAGGTCACATACCTCCCACATAGGATGGGAGAACAGGAATTTGTTCTCATGATGCTTATAGTTTAACATGGAAATCTGCAGTTTTACCCATTGAGAACACTGAATTTCCTATTGGAAATACTGTCATCAATGTATCAGCTATAGGTTTGCTTGCAGGTGGTCTGAGAAATAATTCCTAATGGAAAGCCTGACATAGGGCACTCTGAGGCTTTCTAGGCCTAGAAAACTGGACAGATCTCACCATTCTGGGTCCCAAACAGGCTAGACATATAGAAGGTTCCTGGAAATAGTCAGTCCCAGGGACTTCATAATAAGATCTACATGATTCTACAGTCAGTTTCTTAAAAAAAGCATGGATGGACCTCCTGAGGCTGCCCTGGCTCAAACTCATCCCCGTGCATGGCCACACAGCATGGCAGCCTGTGTTTGGAGCTCATTAAACATGTCGGGATGGAAAGTAAGGTAATCTGCCACACCAAGGAAAGGACTAGAGATAAGGTGTTAAGGCAATGCATAAATCCACTTCAATTCACCTCACCAGGATTTTTTTGTTTTGTTTTTTTGTTACCAGGGATCAAACTCAGGGATCTTGCACTTGCAAGGCAGGCAGTGGCTCTCCTGAGCTAAATCCCTGGCCCTCACCAGGAATTTTTAAAGCAGTTTCGATCAGCCTCGCCTTATAGCCTCTGACCCAGGTTAGTGGGTTCCCAGGAGTTCAAAAGTCTTTTTTATGAGGAAGGGTAGTAACAAAAAGTGAATCTGTGACTCAATTGGGAGGGAACTACAGGAGAATAGATCTACATTTAAAAAAAAAAGTTTGTAGACACCAAATTCTAGTGTGAAAAGGGTTGGATAATGTTTCCTGTATCCCATGTTCCTCAATTAAGGACACATCAGAAAAAAAAAAAAAAAATCAGCCTGTCAGAGAGTTTTTTAAAAGCCATTATTTCTCACATACAAAGAATTTGCAGATTGTTCTAACTTCAACAGGTCTGATGTAGAAGGGATCTCTGCCATATACTTCTTGGGGCAGCTTCCACTTCAGGAATTTGGAACATATTTTTAGGACTCGCTTGCTCTCCTGTGAAAGAGATGATCATAGATCAGCATCTTCAAATTTTTTTAACCGAGGTAAACTTTCTTCAATAAAACCGATCTCAAATTTTAATGTGAACAACCCTAGAAGTCAAAATTACCCTGGGAGAAGTAGAGGGAGCGCTACCCTCCTCCTTCCGTTCCCAAACAGTCCCTAAAGGGACACATAACACTCCAGGGTTCTCAGGAGGATGTAGAAACCATTGGTTCCAGGAAAAAGTGATGGCTGCCACATGTGGTACTCAGATCAGAGCTGCAGGCAGGGATTCACACTCCCCTGGTCTCCAGAGACAGGGCTTTCACCACTACTTGCTGCTCCCCTGCATTTTTCTTAACTCTACACAGGAAAGTGTAGCTCCTGACTTTGTACCGTCCTCGGGGCATGTCTGAGTTGGAAGGAACTCTATAGGTTTCATTTCCTTATCCAGACACTCCAGTAATACTGAGCAAGTGGCCTCTTCTTTATTCATTGCTCTCAGAATGCCATCTATGTACCATTCAACACTTCTTTTTTTTTTGGTACCGGGGATTGAACTCAGGTCCTTTCGCTTGTGATGCAGGCACGGTGCCACTGAGCTAAATCCCCAGCTCTCATTCAACACTTTTGATGTGTCTCCAAGCAAGTACTTTATCCCAGATCTATTAGGTATTTGAGCCATAAAAATTCTTTTGGGGATTAATGGGAATTAAAATTAGTTGAACTACTTTATTTAGCAATTTGTAAATATCTAGTAAAGTTAAAATACCCAGATATTCCTGCTAGGCTTATGCCCTCAAGAAACTCTCACATGTATGCATAAAACAATAGTACAAGAATCTGTATGTGGCACTGTAACAATGAAAAACTGAAAACAGTCTTAACTGTTTCAGAATAGGAGAACAGAATAGCTGAACAGAATAGTTTGTACAAGGGTGATAAAAAATGTAAATATTTAAATTTTAAAAAATCATTACAGTGAAAGCCACACTGCTATTAATCCCCCTCAAAATGCTGCCTTTCACTTCAAACATACTTACCCCATCATTATTACCACTTTCTTAAGCAATTCTAGAAGTTCTCTTTTGTGTCTTTACAGGTGTGACAAAAAATACAGTGAATATTGTGCCATTTGAATGAGAAAAGCAAGCTGTTAAGACTATTAAGGTTGTGTCCTCACTCACTTCATTCACTTCATCTGGCACCTTAAAACTTCTGGCTCTTCCCCAAAGTCAAAATACCATGAAAGGTAAACGTTTAGAATCAGTACAGGACATCCAGGCAGCCACAAAAGCACAATTAGAGACACTCACAAAAAGCGACTTCCAGAGCTCCTTCAGAATGTGGCAAGAACAATGAAATAAGTGTTCAAAGAAGGGGTTAGGCGCGGTGGCCCACATGGTGCCTGTAATCCCAGCACTTGGGAGGCTGAGACAAGAGGGTCACTGTGAGTTTGAGGCTAGTCTGGGTTACACAGCAAGACTCTATCTCAAAAAACCAAATCAAACATACTCCCCCAAACCCCCCAAAAAACAAAAACAAAAAAAGTAAGGGGGAGTATTTTGAGGGGGATTCATGGTAATGTATCTTTTACTGTAATAAATTTTTAAAAAATTTAAACACAGGGCCGGGGATTTAGCTCAGTGGTTCGGTGGCCTGCCTCGCAAGCACAAGGACCCGAGTTCAATCCTGGGTACCAAAAAAAAAAAAAAAATTTTTTTTTAAACACAATGGTTTTGTTTGTTTGGTTGGTTTTTTGAGACAGGGTCTCACTATGTAGTTGAGACGGATCTAGAACTCACTATGTAGCCCAGGCTGGTGTCGAACTCACAGCGCTCCTCCTGATCCTCCTGCCTCAGCCTCCCGAGTGCTGGGATTATAGGCACCAGGCCCAACTGTATATGTCTTTTTAAAGATGTTTTAATTTGAGAAACCATGCATACTGCACATCTTACTTAATCCAAAGAAGCGTTTACACTTTCAAAAAAAATAAAATAAAAAGAAGGCTGAACTCAAACTAATCTGTATGTCCTAAATTTCCCATGTTCTATTTCTGAGTAAATACTTGTCCAGTATTACATATTGCTCACTAATAAATCAGATTGTCAGGGACAATTCAGTAAACTATCTCTTTTTAAAATTATATCTCATTCTACTTTCAGAGATGATTTTATCAATATTAAACATTGTGCAATGTACAGTATTAGCCCAAAAGCATAAATAAGTAGTTTTTTTTTTGTTGTTTGTTTTTGGTAATGGGGATTGAACTTGGGACCTTGCACTTGCGCAGCAGGCAGAGGAACCCCTGAGCTAAATCCCTGCTCCTCAGTCATTCTTTGAAAGGCTTAGACACCAATGTCTAGTCATAGCACTGAGCTTATGAAACAAAAATCCAAGTAAAATCTTCTGTAATATTAAGAGAAGGAAGATTTTTAACTCATTGAATTATGCAGATATAAAAGAGCATAATATGATAAAATTACCAAAATAAAAACATTTTAAAGATTACTTGGTTCTAGCAATATTAACTATTCTGAAATTTTGGATACTTTAACATTTTTATTTTAAATTTATATAAATTCTTCTCTTTTAACAAGTTAAAAAAATAACAAGTTAAAAAAGCACCCCCAAACAGTTCAGACTATAATCTTATTTTTCCATCCTGGTTAGCTCACCACAACTCAACATAAGACCGTTTAAACACTCAGCTCTTTTAAAATATAATATTTTAGTGGATCCTGTCATTTCACTCATTGTTTGCTATTCCAGACCCTAAAACAGGCTGCCAACAGATTGGGCAAGTGCAATTCTCTGAGAGCTACCAGTCAATACAGTGACTGTGAAATTCGTGCATGCGAGGTAACTGCCTGAGCTTGTTTCCAGTTACATAGTCACTGATACAAACACCACAAATTTTACCTAATTCCCTGTCAATACTGCTATGCTCGTAATTCTGGGTGGAAAGATTGTCACTCTGCTCTTTGGTTAAACCACGTATTTGATCATAATCACCTTCATTTAATAAAAAGAAGTGAGCACATCAGAGAACAGGTAGTGTTCCTGCTTCTACAAAATTATTTGAATTTTTCAACTGCCTATTATTTCTGCTTTTACCGCTTGTGTTCTGAGACTGGCACTTCAGTGCCAAATTCTTGGGCTTGCCCGTGTTGAGAGGAACTTTCACTGTGCTGGTTGCTGTCATCAACTATACCTAAATTACTGGTAAATGCTGACCATTTCTCTGAATCTCTGACTCTGACTCAGCCTCCATTAGAGAACTAAGTTCTCCAAACCCAATCATGATCTGCCGAAAATTGACTGAAGAGCCACTGAGGATGGCTCAATAAGCTCATTCTCAGAAGTCCCCCAAAAGGGGAACTGTTATGGTACAAATGCACGTTCGCATGCCTGACTGCTCCAAATGAGTAGTTCTGCGAAAATGAAGAGCCACTGAGGATGGCTCAATAAGCTCATTCTCAGAAGTCCCCCAAAGAGGAACTGTTATGGTACAAATGCACGTTCGCATGCCTGACTGCTCCAAATGAGTAGTTCTGCGAAAGGCCCCACTATTGCTTTCAGTAGTGACTGTTTTCTGCTAGCCTCACTTTAGACTGGGCTGTATTCGCAACACTGTCCCAATCTGTATTTTCTCCAGGACGGGTCCTTCTTACTTGATGGCCCAGTATAATTGTTGGATGCTGTCGTGCAGCAGGTGAGGATGTGTTAGATTCTTCCCCTTCTTCTACTGTTATTCTTGACACAAGTCTTGAATCAGAGAATTGGGAATATGCAGTGCCTCTGTGTTCTCTATCTGGCTCTAAAAAGACTTGAGTTATACCACTTCTCCTCAAAGATCTCCTGATGGTTTGCCACAAAGGTCTATTTTCCCTGCTTTGGGAATAAAAAACAATGTCACTCTGTCTCTGAATTAGTCAGTGCCTTCAGCTACTGTAACTTATTGGCTCTAATCTGGTTTGTATTCCTCACTGTAACATGAGCTTTAACCCCATTTTCCCAAATATGTGCTGCTCCAAATCTCTGCTTCTACCTTTGCCTGTGTTCACTACCACCTTGACTACTATAGTTATTGCATGAAGCCCTAGTTCTAGGAATGCCAACTCCTCTCTCACTTCCATTTCTTAACTTTCCCAGTGTTGACTGAATTCTGCCTCCTGAACCAAGCCTAGTCCTAGAATGTCGGAATTACCACCACTGAAATTCACTGAAGTTTGGTTTCTTGAACTTGTTGCCCATTTATAGTGTGATCTCTATTAATATCTGAAAGTGAAATACCCATATCATCTTCCCCACAAATTTCAAATTCTCTATTTTCATGATTTATGTGGATTTCCAGACTAAACTGAAACACTCCACTGTTTGGGTTTGTTTGACTCACACATCTTCAAGTTTGGTTCCCATTTGGTCCACTTTAAGTTGCACTGCCAGTAAGACGAAAAGTGTGTAACAATTCTAGTAAATAATCTTCATTTGAACTTTCTCTAGGGACTTCTAAGTCTCTATTATTTGTCCCATTTCTAAAGTCAGGCTCAGGCACATAGCTGCTCCTTTACTCCATCTAACCACTGTTATAGTTCTGATGTTATTTTTCCAGGGGTGCCTAAAAGATTATGGTCTCTCATCACCCAATAATCTTCATCACTGAGCTCATTAATAGACTGATAATAGGCTTCAGCTCTTGCTGCCAGTCTTCTCCCATTTTCACAATGTTACAGTCTTGAGACGAGGTTTCCTCACCACCACTACCTGATCAAAAACTAGACTAATTCATACTGAGGTTCCTGGCTTCCTTATTTTCCTTGCAACATGCCTTTAATAGATGGAATGGTACCCATCCTTCAGTTGTTTGTGCTTTTTTGAGAGCCACCCATCTCACCAGGACCCATGCTGCTGCTTCATCCTGAGAATCTTCTGTAGGCAGCTGTCCTCTGGCAGGACCTCTGGGAGGTGGGCAGGCTGCTACCTCCAGAGGCCGCTGCACCATCTATTAGTCTATTAAGGAGAGCTGGTTTAAGATTTTAAAAAGGATTCGCAATCTGGTTTATTTTTATCTGTTACAAATGTATACAAGACCCTCCATCAAATGCTGAGAAATAAGACAACAAAAGCACTGAGAACATATAAAGTTTCAAAACATGAAAAATATTACCACAGGAATGGTAAAAACAAAATTAAGGATGAAAGTTCTTGGAGGAATTCATTTGGCATATAATTTATTCCTGCTTTATTTCTTGGAGTACAGGTAGTTATACAGGCATTCATATGTTCTCTGTGCCAGTGACTCCTAACCTGTGTTAGACCATGCCTCTCTACATAGACTACCCTCGGAGGACCCCTGAGGAAGTGGCTTATTCAAGCTTTGAAAGGAAATAAGCCCAGAGCCTTGTCTGACTGCTAAAAGGCTGGCAGGGTCTGGTGGGATATCAACACCTCCACATATCTGTAAATGCCACAGGGCACACTTCCCCATCACCTGGGCTGGAAATTCTGCTCTGTACTTTTGTGGGGACTGAAATGTACCATATTTACATCTATAAAGCTGAATACAATTTTCTCCACAAGAAGGTGTGAGGGCCTATTCTAATCCCATTTCTGAACTTGCAACTTTGTCTTTCATTTTTATAATAGGTGCACATGGAGATGAGAGCTCCGGCATCCTTCTAGGATCACTGTGGTCCAACCTACCCCCACCCCACCCCATGATACCACATTGGTAGGCCATATTAGCAGTACTCTGGATTGGACAGGCTTCCGATAAGTGTGTAACTAAAGATGATGACATTTCAACCTCCCTCCCACTACAGGGTTAAGACTAAGATGGCTTAAATGGAAAACCAAATTCTTATGGCAAAAACACTTGGAAGATTTAGGAGAAGTAAAGACTTCCCTAGATTGTCAGAGTGGCTATTCTCTCTGACTTAACTCTAATTCAAGATATTTATCTTGAGGCAAATGAGGCAGTTCCTGAAGTGAAAAAGATAAAATATATTATTGTCATCAACAGAGTTTGCTGCCAGGTAGGGTAGTGCATGCCCGTAATTCCAACTACCTATGAGGATAAGGCAGGAGGATTGAAAGTTTGAGGCCAGCTTGGGAAACTAGAGAAAACATGTTGATAATGATGATGATGATTATAACTTTTTAAAAATAGGGCTGGAGATATAGCTTAGCACTCCTTGGATTCAATCCCTAGTATAAAAAAAGTTTGTTGCGTTAGGCTCTATATTTAGGGCTCTAGCCTAGGATGAATATTAGGGTGCAGCTATAGTGTGGGCTAATATATTATTCTTACCCACAGAGGGCCATACTTTGCTACGTAGAAACTAGGAGTAAGATTTTTCACAATTCATTTAGGGAAAAATAATGGAAACATAGCTGTGTATCAGAGGACATAGAGAACAAAGACTGTACTGTAAAGTCTCTGCCCACAAATATACAAATACTTATTTGCAGAGTTGGCTATGGATTTAGAGTTATTTATGGCTGAAAGCAGTAGGTATTACCTCAGCTACTGCAGCATTTTCATCCTGGGAATACAGAAGCAGTGGGATCAAGCTTTCTAGGACTTGATTCTCTACGCCCTTTTTATGTGTGTGTTTCACAGACTTAATGGAGGCTCCAAAAAGGGTCATGGAGAAATGATAAACATCAGGTCTCACCTATGAAGAGAGTGTTCAAAGGGAAACAACTCACTGAATGTGTTCACCCTTACCTTGTACGAAGTTTACATGGCTCAAACATCAGTCTTTTTTTTGTTGTTTTTTGTTTTAGTTTTTGAGACAGGGTCTCACTATGTAGTTGAGACTGACCTGGAACTCACTATGTAGCCCAGGCTGGTCTCGAACTCACAGTGATCCTCCTGCCTCAGCCTCCCGAGTGCTGGGATTACAGGCGTGCGCTACCACGACCGGCCACAAAACGTCAGTCTTAACACAAGGCTATTTAGGTGAATATAGTTGAGGGTAAGAAACCAAACTTATCTGGAGACAGCAAGACCTGCTGTTTGGTACTTTTGTTCTTCTCTCTGTAAGTGAGAAATGGGAATAGCCCCACCTGTCATTGTCTAAGCTTCTGCCTGATACTGGTATTAAACATTCACATAAGCTGCTTTGTTTTTTCCAGAACCAGGGATCGAACTCAGGACCTTGTGCTTGCAAGGCAGGTGTGGCACCACTGAGCTAAATCCCCAGCTCACATAAGCTGTTTTGCTGAAATTTAAAATCCCCGAATTGCCATACTTTGCTCTTCCAAGGATACGAGTCATTGTGTTCCATGTATTTCTTTTTGGAAAAGTTTTGGGATTTGAGTCAAAGATGTAAGTATAGCCCATCATCTTGACTCAGTTCTGAATGTTTCTTGAACCCTTTATCCATCCCACAAAGCAATACCTTGTCAAGTTTCTATGTTTCCTGTTTAATAATAACACCATCCCCACCAACTCATGGGTTACCTGAATGGATCTTGAGAGGGATTTAAAAGTGCTCTGAAAGTAAAATGTTCTACATAAAATAGGATATACTTACTCACTATCCCAACCTCTACTAGCTGTTATGCCAATTACCCTCCTCTAGGGAAGTATCTTCTCTTGTTGACTTACATCACCAAATAAAGAGAACAGGATCCTCAACATGGCAGCCAGGGTTGTAAAATCCATCATCCTGACAAGCTTCTGGAGTATCTGGATGGCCAACAAAACAATCCTTTCATCAGTTTCACATAAGCTGTCTAAGATGGACGGCAACAGTCTCTTGATGTCTTCCCTCTGTGTGCCCAAAGAGAGGCATATCACCACCTTTTCTGGTACAAGATCTGGTACCAAAGAGAGGGCTTTCACCTTTACTCAGCGTATAGTGCTTGCTGGATTTCTAGTCACACTGGGTAATCCAAGGCAGGGAAGAAGCAAGAAGGCATGACTGCCCTCTCTCATATTAGTAGGTCTGCTACATAGAGGAGCGGGCAGAGTTGTTGTGAGTTGCCTCACAGAGCAGAAGTAGGACCAGGTGAAAGAAATGTTCCCATAACAATAAGAGAAAGTAGAAAGGTTGATGCAGATCAGTGAGTTTCCCAGTATGGAAGATATCCAACACAGACTGAAAGATTCCTTAGCAGGAATTCAGCGAAATTGAACTGAGGACCCTTAAGATTCCTTCCCATTCTGAGCTGCAATTCTGCTCTTTTGAGACTCCTAAAAGGAGGCCGTCTCAGAATTTAAAAAAAAATGTGTGTGTGAGTGAGTGAGTGTGTGTGTGTGTGTGTGTGTGTGTGTGTGTAGAATAAAGCATCAAATATATATGCAATCAACCAGAATTAACATATACCAGTGTTTATCATTTTGCTTCAGATATGTATATACATTTTTGAAGAAGAGAAACAGAATTCAGGCCAGGTGTGGTGGCACAGAACTCAGGAGGCTGAGGCCTGAGGTTGGGCTACATAACTGAGGGCAGCCTGGGCCTGTCTCAAAAAATAAAAAAATAGAGAAACAGAACTCAAGTGACAAAACTGAAGCTGTAGTGATTACTTGTCTTTTCTGAATGAGGCTTTTCTGGTTTTCTGGTGAGGTCTGTGGAAAAGGAGCTCTCATACCATGAATGCTGGTGATCTCTGTCTTCAATGATAAGCATCTTGGAGCAGATTGCTGCTATCCAAGTTACCCACAAAGAATGGTACAAAGCATCAAGGGACACCTAAATATTGTTCAGGTTGTGATGGTAATGCATATATCCCCTAAAGAAATAGCAGGTTTCAAACATTATGAGTATATATGACTTAACTTTAAAAAGTTGTACAACTTTTTGATAGTATTTGTGCATTTCCTAACTATAAATTCAAATAGTATGCCAGGTATGATGGCACAAGCCTAGAACTCCAACACTTTTGGAAGCTTAGACAGAAGACCACAAGATTGAGACCACCCTGGGTAACTTAGTGACTTAGCAAGATCCTGTCTCAAAATTTAAAAAATTTTAAAAGGTCTGGGAATGTAGCTTGATGTGAAGGTTCTGGGTTCAATTCCTGATGCCCCTTCCACCAAATTAAAATGGTATAAAAGGATATGCAGTTAATAAGACCTTTTCCCATCCTACTCTTGTCATCAGGCTACCCAATTTTCCTTCTCAGTCATTTTCAGTTTCATGAGTAAGTATCCTTTTGGGGCGTTGTCTTTGTTGTGATTATCTGTTGACAACAAAGAGTTATAACCCTCACCAGAATTCTCCCACTAAAACAATCCTGCCCAGCACATATTAAACAGACATAAGATAATGCACTAACACTGACCCAAAACAGCTGGAAATAAAAGTAAATCTTTGTCCCAGTGAGAAGTAGCCTTCTATGAGGCCAAAGTAAATGACTCTGTCATTTTGTATCTTTCATGTACAACTTTAGACACAATGTGGGTGTTCCTAGAAGATTAACAAGGAATAAGAATCATGTCTAAGTAAACTCTTATCTTCTTATTCTGATCTTGGTAAATTCTTTCACCACTGTGTCATCAGCCCTCTGTAATGCCATATGGTATGGCATTTGTAACTTTTAGAATCAGTGGTCGGGAGCCTCTTACCATCTCCCAGTGTCTGACAAGATTGCACAGCCCCCTCAGGGCAAGCATTTTAAAGAGATTATTTCCATGATGCAGCCAGTCTTTCAAGCGGGATAGGGAGTATATGCTGGGCAGTCTTCTGGCCACGGGACTCTGAAGGAGCTGAAAGAACCCAGAAACCAACAAAAGAAATGATCTCTAAGCCATTTTCTCATGACAAGAGCTTCCTTCCTACTAATTCTATAACATATATTTTCCCTTGAAATTTCTATGGTATTGTATACATACTACAGGCGATACTCGAACACTGAATAATAGTATGTAGGAAGAAGAAATTTAATATTCTTGAATATGAAAAGTATTTCTCTCACATTCCTGAGTTGGATATAACCTTAGAACATAGGTGCTGCTGCTTTATAGACTCCTATATCCTACAACTACATAATGAATCTTACCTCCACAAAAAAGCCTGCAGATGTGAGCTTATGTTTATCATTTCCTCGGTTAAGAAGTGGGACTAACAAGTACATGATCTTGCATGCAAGGTGGTGATTTCTTTCTAGCAATGCACTGCAAAACAGAACAGAATGACTCTCAGGTATGCTCCCGCCCAGGGGCATTTTCTCAGGGTGGGGACCCCCTGAAGTTTCTGTGCCGCTTCCAGTGTGCAGGAGGATACGGCAGAGCCAGGTCTCCTGGAAAGGTTGCCTGGCAGTATGGCTATTGCCCACCATCTTATAAGAACGTGACCCAACCTTAGTCGCTATGAGAATAAAAGGAGGAAAAATACCTAAAACAATACTGACATAGAGCAGGTGGTGTACACATGACCAGGAATCCTTACTTGGCAAGGAGAAATACTCCCTGAACGTGGCAATCTTTCTCTTCTACGAGAGTCCATCCTTTATTCTTTTCCATTATGTCAAATTCCCACCTGCATGATGTTCTGAAAAGTAGAGTCTTTGTGGCCTGCACGGCGAAACTAAGTAAAACAAAAACAGCTTGATGACTAGAAAAGGTCCCATCAATTTGTAAGCACATAGTCACTCTGCTCTTGCTGGGAAGGGCCATGCACTGGAAGCTGCTGACTGTGATTCTCACTTCCTTAGGCTTCCCAACCTTTCCTAGGTTCTTAATGCTCTAACAACCTGAAAAGGTTTTCACAGAAATTCTCAGCATAAAGAAGTCTAACTAGATTTTATTCTCCCAGGGGTTTGGAAAGAACTCTATGATAAAACAAATAATCTGGGATGCCAAACAGATTCTCAATGCTGGTTTTCTTTTTTCTTTGTGTGTATTTGTGTGTTGTTGGGCACTGAACCCCAGGGCCTTCAAACTGAGCTATATCCTCAGCTCTTTTATTTTATTTTTATTTTTCAGGCAGAGTTTCACTAAGTTGCTAAGTTGCCCACGGTGGGCTCAAACTTTCAATCCTCATGCCTCAATGTCCCAGGGTGCTAGGATTATAGGCATGCACTACCACGCACAATTTTACTTTTTTTTTTAAAATCTTCATTGTGAAGCAATGAAACTTAACCTGACTGCTTTTAAAAACTACTAGTTCAATTGGTATCATGGACATGGCATCAGAAAAGTTTAAAACTGTAAGAGTCCTTAGAGATCAACTTGTCTGATCTCCTTAACAGATAAGGAAACTGAGGCACAGAACAATAAATAAATACAGTTAAATGCATTTAATAAATACAGTTAAATGAATGAATGAAAACTAGAACTTGGTCTACTAGCCACTTTTAGTTGAGTGTTCTTAACGGTGCCACATTATAGCCCTATGTTCCACAGCAACACTAAGAAATTTCTGTTGAGACCCTCATGGGCAACTGAAAGCATTTCTCCATGTATTAAAGCAGAAATGAGGATCAGTACACTTTTGGAGATAAATTTAAGCCATTTTGTTTATCTCTGTCTCTACTTGATTTATCAGGAAGGGGTGACATGATATTCCACATTTTGCAGGGCATCTGGACTCACATCGCCAAATTTATCTTTTTAATCAAGAAAACAAAACACAACCAATGAGAGCCCAGAAAAATTCCTGGCATTTCACCTTGATGTCTCATGAGGGCTATGGACGGTCTGCCCCCTCACAGTTGGGATCATTCTCAGCTATCTCCATAGTGCCCAGTGCTTCCTAAGTGTCATGGTCCTGAAATCATAATGGGTAGTACCTACCACAAAGGTGTGACCTCTGTCGACATTTTCTGCTCTGTATACAGGCCACTTGGGATGGCCACATCAGACATGGTTAGGCCAATGCTGTGGTGAATCTGGATGAGCAGTGTCATGAGAAGCTGAGGAAAGAGTCAGAATGTAGCCGCTTGAAGCCTATTTCCCAGAAACACCTCATTAAGGGCATCTGTTGCCTGCAGTAGAAAAGGCACAGAGCAGATCAGAGTCCCTGTGGCCCTAATTCTCTAATCTACTAATTTTCTAGTTCTTTTGCTTAGCTCCTGTTAGTGCCAGAACATGCTTTCTTGTTGTACTACTCCATAGGCAGAACAGTAGCAGTTGTATCATAGGGACGTGGAGGTGAAGGGGGAAAGGAATGGGAGTAGAGTGGTTGTTAAAGTCAGCCATTAGAGTCTTGGCGGATGGCTCAGTGGTAGAGCATTGCTGGGCTCAATCCCTAGTGCCCTCCCCCAAAGTTACCGAAAGGACTTGAAATCTAGAAGTCATAAAACTATTTTTTGCTTTGTTTTTTGAGACAGGGTCTTGCTATGTAGTTCAGGGTGGCTTTGAACTCACTATGTAGCCCAGTAGCCTGGCCTCGAACTCACAGGCTCCTCCTGCCTCAGCCACCAGAGTGCTGGGATTATAGGAATGTGCTACCACACCTGGCTCAATAAAGAAAACTATTAATATACTTGACTATATACAAATATAAAACCAGGGCAAGATTTATAATAAAGTTAGATGGCAAATCCAGAAAATGTTTGCAACAATGTGTTATTCTTTTTTTTTTTTTTTAGCAATGTGTTATTCTTAATAAAATGCTTTTAAATCTCAGTAAGAAAACATAAAGGTCTGCCACAGAGTACGAAACACACAGAACAGCACTACTTGAGAGCCAGTGGACAGAGTCTCAGCACCAACTGCAACTGCCCAGCTCTCCACCCCATGCCCTCTGCATCAGAATCTGCACATTAGTAAGATCCCCAGGTGACTGGTTTTTTTTGTGCATCTTAAATTTGAGAAGCACTGTTGTACAGGTCATGAGCAGACAAGTCTCAGAAGAAGAAATATAAATAGCTAATTAAAAAACATACAACCCGTCAACCTTACCAAAAGCAAAATTATAATTAAACTTATGTTCCTTTTTCACCTAACTGCAAGGCAATAGTGAAAAGATAGTGCCGTGTGAGGGTGAGGAGAAATAGGCGTCCCTCATATATGATGGGAGAAGGGCAACATCCTGGGAACATGTATCACAGCTTTAAACATACCCACTGCTTGACCCAGAATTTCCCCTTTGGTGGACATTGTCCCAAGAAGATGCTGAGTATGTATGATAACGTTTATGCATATACAATTAAATTTGCTATAGCATTGTTTTAAGGGCAAAGTTTGAGAATTATTAAAATGCTCACTTCCTAAGAACCTTCATAACTAAAAATGATTCTGATCCAGGTGCATAGCACACTCCTATAGTCCCAGATACTCAGGAAGCTGACGCAAGAAGGATCATTTGAGCCCAAGAACTGGAGGCTACCCTGAGCAACACAGTGAGACCCCATCTCAAAAAAAAGAGAACAAAACAAAAAATGATTCAGTGTCATCGAAGATATATTTTAAAAAACAACAGGTAATTAAAAATAAATGACTAGCTAGGCATGGTGGCACATATTTGTAATCGCAGAACTCGGGAAGCTAAGGCAGGAGGATCACAGATTTGAGGTCAGCCTAGGCTATCAAGAGAGATCCTTTCTCAAAAAATCAAACAAAACCAAAAACAAATACAAACAAACAAACAAACAGAAAACAACTATGCCTTCATTAAAGATAGCAGAAAGTCCTGTATATTGATATGGAAAGTATCTCACATTGTTAAATAAAAAGCAATACATGTAGTGTGCGCCTATTAATATATACATAATTTTATAGACTAACATGATTGAATATATACTTCTATCTGTCAGAACTTCTAAAACTGGACTGAAGTGGTGTTATAAAGTATACACTGATTGAAGTCAGAGCTGTATCTATATGGAGGCCAGGGGCTTAGGGAAACTCTGTACTTGCTGCTCAATTTTGCTGTGAATGTGAAACTCCTCTAAAATGTTGTCTATTTAAAAGGAAAAAAGTGAAAAAAAAAATAATCAATATACAATATACCACAAAAGTTTATATGTGTATACATGGATCTGAAAAGTCCATTTTTATGGATATGGTACAGATATGTGCTAAAGTGATTTTTAGGGGAGCCAATAGGGTGTTATGTATGAGGTCCAGTCTGGCCTCAAACTCCTTGACTCAAGCAATCCTTCTGTCTTAGCCTCCTGAGTAGATGAGACTACAGGCAGATAGCACTGGCTTTTGGTTTTATTTTTGTTTTTTTGAGTCAGTCTCACTAAGTAGTTCAGGCTGGCCTTGAACTCACTGCAATTCTCCTGCCTCAGCCTCCCAAGTGCTGGGATTACAGGTTTGCATCACCATGCCCAGGGCATTTTATTTAGAGAGTTGTAATAAACAAAACAATCCAATGAAGCTAGGCACAGTTGCACATGTTTGTAATCCCAGCTACTTGGGAGGCTGAAGCAGGAGAATTGCAAGTTTAAGGCCAGCCTGGGCAACTCAGTGAGACCCTGTCTCAAAAACAAAAAGGCCAGTGGGTAGCACAGTCGTAGAGCATCTGCTTAGCAAGAAGAAAATTCTAGATTCAATTTCCATGCATATACAAAAATCTGAAGAGGGGGCTGGGGATTTAGCTCAGCGGTTCGGTGGCCTGCCTTGCAAGCGCAAGGACCTGAGTTCAAACTCTGGTACCAAAAAACAAAAAAACCAAAAATCTGAAGCACATATGGTCTGCAGATACTAAGATATTTACTATTAATTTTTTACAGAAAATGTTTGCCAACTCCTAATCAAGGAGATCTTTGCTTTGTATTTTATATCTATCTAGTTGGCAGTACTAGAGATTAAAACTAGGATCTTGTGCCTGGTACATAAGCACTCTACCACTAGATACATCCTCAGCCCTATTTAAAATTTTTCTTGCCAAGTTGGGTAGCAAACACCTGAAACCCCAGCTACTTGGGACGATGAGGTGAAATAATCCAAATTTGAGGTTATCCTGGATGAATAAATCCTATCCCAAAATAAAAAATTTAAAATGACTGAAGGGGCTGGGGATTTAGCTCAGTGGTTTCCCTGCCTGCCTTGCAAGCACAAGGATCCAAGTTTGATCCCCAGTACCAAAAACAAAACAAAACAAAACAAAAAAACAATACAATGACTGGAGATACAGCTCAGTGGAGGAGTGCTTACCTAGCATATATGAGGCCCTGGGTTCAATCCCTAGTACTGCAAACAAACAAACAAACAAAAAAACCACAAATTTTTCTTCACAGGTTTGTATTACTCTAACTATGGTAATAACTGTTTTTTAAAGATAAAAGAATGTTTAAAACATATTATACCACCATATTGTTGCCTAAACTCTTCCTAGCTTCCTCCATATCAATCCCTTGGTAGAGAATATGTGGCTAGATTTACAAGTGATTTATACATGAATATCAGAGCAAATTTTTAGAGGGACCAAAAATAACACTTTCCAAATAGGTTAAGTCATCTTTGGAGTGGGAGCATAGTGGACTGAAGTTAGAGGGGCAGGACTCAGTGGCTTACAGCAACAGCCACATAGGCCATCTTCTTCTGGCTGGGCACATTATGGCATTTCTGGAGCTTCCTCAGCAGCCTCCACAGCACCCAGGTCGTGCCGGGCAGGTCTATCTTCAGGGTTCTCCACAACACAGCTAGATTCCTGGAAATCCCAGAGTAAGAAGGGTCAGCAGAATGGCTTATCCCAGGCCTATCATGGCCACAACCTTCTTTAGAGTCTGGAATCTGATCTATAGGAGGTTTTCCTCTCCGCCCAGTTCCTCAGGGTATCATAGAGACAAACTAATCTGATTTCATAACAGTGGGTACTAAGGTTTTAGTGAGTCAAGGTCCCTTGGCCTGGGCATGGACTTCAAGGCCAGTCACAAACTGGTCCTAACCTAACTTTCTAGTCCTACCACTTCCCTATCGCATACTTTGTGCTTTCACCACCGCATATCAATCATCTTTGCCAGACAAACCACAGACATTGGAAACCCTACACCCATGCCTAGATCATTTTCTTTAATCAGAAGACCTTTCCCCTAAACTCTCCTCTGCCCATCGGCATCCTTCAAGGTCCAGCTCCAGTGTCACCTCCTCTGCGAAGCCTTTGCTGCTTCTTCACCAGGTCTCTCACGAGAGTTCCTATAGCACTTTTTAAAACTCTCTCTTTATGGAGGTAGCCTCAACCTTACACATGCTATGGTTAGTTTAGGTATATTTGTGTCTCCTTGTTCCTGCTGAAGGAAAGGTTACACCTAGCTCTTTCATGGATCCTTCAGGATCTCACACAGTGTCACAGGAGGCATTCAAGGACACATCCATTCAATCCAGTCTATGGTCCTCATATTGGCTAAGGCCAAGCACTGCAACAAAGTTTTGATTCTACTTAGAAGAGATCTTAAAAAAAAAAAAGCGTGATTTTAAAGAAAAGTAGTATGTTTCTCGAAAAGACTATGAGTTGAGTGTGGCCGTGCATGCTTGTAATCCCAGTACTCTGGGAGACTGAGGCAGGAGGATAACAAGTTTCCCAGCCTGGATTGCTTTGCAATTTAGGAACTCCTTATCTAAAAAAAAATTGTTTTTAAAGGCTGCAAACCATATGTGGTGGTGCATGCATGTAATCTCAGTACTTTGGGAAACCGAGGCAGGAGGACTGCAAGTTTGAGCCCAGCCTGGGTAACTCAGTAACTTCCTGTCACTCTGTCTCAAAAATAATAAGTTAAAAAAAAAAAAAAAGACTGGGGCTATAGCTCAGTGTGAAGTCAGTGGGTTCAATCACTAGTAGCCCCTCCCTGCAAAAGACTTCAAATATGACATTACAGCTCAGGCCAACCTGGGTAATGCACTAAGACATAATGAAGAAAGGAAAGGAGAAGGATAAGGAAAAAAGGAAGAAAATTTCTCTATTACTGATTTTAATGTAGGGGTTGAGGACTATGAAAAAACATGGGGGAGGGACACCGGGAATTATTTATATTTTTAAGCCTGCTTTGTGTGTGCTGGGGACCAAACCAGGGCCTCACACATGCTAGGTAAGCACTCTACCACTGAGTTACATCCCAGCCAAATTCATTCTTATTTTCAAAACTTACCCAGGCAACTTGTATGCCAGAGCTATGTCTTTTGTTCATTTTTGTTTTTGTTTTGTTTTCTTGAGACAAGGTCTCACTAAATTGCCCAGTGACCTTGAATTTGTAATCCTCCTGCCTCAGCTTGGGAATACAATTATGTGCCACTGTGCCTGGCTGAGACCATGTCTTTTAAAGTGTGGTTTTCCAACTATCTGCATGAGACCAACTTTAAAAATGGAGAGAATTAAAGACTATCCCAATATTTTACTCATGTTAGTAATTCTATTATTGAATAAAACAAAAGAAGAGGGTCCTAAAGCCAAAAAGATGATGTGGGATGTTGAAAACGTTTGTGACTAAGAAGATAATTAGATGGTAGAATATGAACATTTGTCCTGGGAGGACATTAAGAAATTCCTATGCTTGGGCTGGGGATTTAGCTCAGTGCTGCTGCACCTGCCTCACAAGAGCAAGATCCTGAGTTGGATCCCCACTGTGTGGGGGGCTGGTTTCCTATGCTTACTCACCCTCAGTTATTTTCTCTGAACTCCTGATGGACTAGATACATTACTTTGAGCAGCTATTTATTATAAAAGAAGTGTTCCAAAATTCTTTTGACTTGCAGCATATTTGTAAGTGTGATGGACATATATATATGAATTGGAAAGCACAAAGACTTTAGACCAATGATTCACAGATTTTTGTATGGAAAAAAAAAACATCTGGAAAGTCTGCTAAAAATATAGAAAAGGCCTTGCCACTGATGATACTGATTCTGTAGAAGTGGTTTTTGTTTTGCCCATCACCTTTTTGGGCCCCCTTCCCTTAGATCCTTAATAATCCTATTTGGGCCATGTAGTTTGATGGGAGCTGACTACAAGTCTATCACATTGTCAGAACTAAAAGAAAAGATTCCCTTTCTATTGTCATCTCTGCCAACATTAGTGCAAGCTCATCCAAGAGATGAAGAGATGGACAGAACCTTCATAAAATGAAATGAAGAAAGAGCCTTGGACTTTCCACTACTATAAGTCTGTACAGCTCCTTACGCTGGTTTGAGCTCCATCTCTGCTACTCCCAGCTAAGAGTTCTAACTAAGGCGAGTGTGGTGAACATGCCTGTAATACCAGCACACTAGAAGGCTAACATGGAGGACCACAAGTTGAGGCCTAGCCTGAGATGCATAGCGACACCTTACTTCAAAAAAATAATAAAAAAAAGAAAAGCTGGGAATGTGGCTACTACCAAAACCAAACAAAAACCAAATTAAAAAAAACCTACAAAGGGTTCTAACTAATATATTATAATTAATATAATAGGTCTAGGACAGTCTTTAGAGTTTTGGAAGATGCTTTTTTATTAAGCTCCACGTGGATTATCTGGATGGGTGAAAGTCTTCCACTGCTTGATGTTTAGAGAACATCACAACTACACCAAGACGTTATATGAGAACAGCTCATTTAAAAGAGAGGCTTTCAGATAATCAAAAGCAGAAAAATATTTTCTTCAGCTAAAAAAACTGACCAGAATCATGCCATAGAAAGCAGATAAAAAGAGATGCTACTCTGGTTAAAGTGGAGGTAGGGGTTGGGGTGGGACCTGGAGCTGTCTCCTGATGTGTCACTCCTTTGGCCTCACCTGGAGCTGCCAATGTGAAAACTTCTTAGCTAAAAAAATCTACTTGTCCGTATATTCTTCTCTATGGACACATTTATAATTTTTTTGTTTGTTATTTTGAGACAGGGTCTCACTATACAATTCAGGCTAACCTTGGATTCACTGTGTAGCCCAGGCTGATCTTGAACTTGCGGCAATCCTCTTGCCTCGTCCTCCTGAGTGCTGGGATTACAGGCATGGACCACCAGACCTGGTTTATACTTCTTTTTATGTACCAGTTTATCCATTTAGCTATTTTGTAGCAAAATAATTCTGCAAGTGAGTTATTACAGTATGATATTTTACCCTAAATAACTTTTGTGTCTATCTTCTTACAGTAAGAACATCCTTCTGTATAACCAGTATATGTCACACCTAAGGACGTTAAATTAATAATCTAGCAGAGAGGTCATATTTAAATCTTCTCCAAATTTTCTTTCATAGCTTTTGTTTTTGAATCATGATCCAATCAAAGTCATAACTGTATAACTGCATTGGGTTATGTTGGTTTAGTATTTTTTTTATCTAGAATAGTGCCTTCAGCACCATTTTTATTCATGACATTAACTCTTTTGAAGAGTCTAGTCCAATTATCTTACAGAATGTTCTTCACAGTGGATTTGTTGCATTGTTTCCATAAGATATTATATTCTGATCACAGGCATCTATATCTTATCTCTTCTGCAAGACTCTCATTAAATTATTTTTGGATTTTTTAAGATAGTCTCACAATATTCCATGGCTTTGAACTCATGATCCTCTTGCCTCAGTCTCCCAGAGTCCTAGGTTTATAGGTGTGTGCCACTATATACTTGGTTGAGTCTTATTAGTTTTTTTTCTCCCCCAGTACTGGGGATCTAACTCAGGACCTTGGGCTTACAAGGCCAGTGCAGCACCACTGAGATAAATCCCCAGCCCTTGTTTTGTTTGTTGAGACAGGATATTGTTGTGTAGCCCTTGGTGGTCCTGAACTTACTATGGAACCCAGGATGGCTTTGAACTCATGGTGCTCCTCCTGCCTCAGCCTCGTTCATTAGATTTTTGAGGGCAGCTTTGCTCCACAAAACTCAGGTTATATACCCCAATTTACTCCAGAGGATGCACAGGCTCTATTACCTGTCATATGGTATTGGTTGACACAGAAGATGGCTAAGCACTATATCTGTGTACTTGGGTCTGGAGATAAACAAACTCACAGTACTGATGATTTGTTGGTGGACTCTTGGCTGACTGATCATGGATAGCTGGGCACAGATAACTCCCATAATTTCTGGTACCTGAGGAGGAAAAAGAAATTACTAAAGCCTAAGTCCTGTGGGACATTAATGATTTCTGAGGATATTGTGGCCATTTCTGAAAAATCCTAGGGGGTGATTTTTACTTAGCAAAAGTTCCTTTCAAAAAGGGTGTGGTTCAGTGGCAGACTGCTTGCTCATCATATACGAAGATCTGGACACCAAAGGTTTATAAACAAAACTACTTGGGGGTATCTATAGGTATGGATATGCACACAAATAGATTTTGAGCCCAGCATGGTGGTGCATCCCTGTAATCTCAGCATTGTAGACTGAGGCAGGAGGATTGTAAATTCAAGCCCAGCCTAGGTAACTCTGTAACCTAATGAGAGCCTATCTAAAAATAAAAAATAAAAAAAACCCTGGGGATGCAGCTCAGTGAAAAGGCCTCGGGTTCAACCCCTAGTACCACAATAAGTAAATAAATAAGTAGATTCGGAAGGATGTAAATACAAAGATGTTAAAGATGTGTCTTTGAGTGATGGGATATTATATTTTTTTTCTAATTTTCCCCAATTACATATTGATTTTATAATAAAACAAAGAAAGGTGCTGCAATAAAACTTTTTTTCTCATTCTGAACCTGATTATGGCAAAGGAGTCTCCATCTACCTTCCTCTCAGATGTGACTGTGAGGTCAGGTAATGAAAGCAGGAGCCACAAGGTCCATTTCTTTGCTTGGACTACTCTTCCAGCAGATGCATGGCTTCAGGTCTCAGTGGAGTTGTCAGCTCCTTAGAGAGGCAGCTCTCAACACCCTCACATAAAATGGTGGTCATCACTACTGGTTGCCAGAAACTGGTTGAAGGTTAGACATGCAATATGACTATGGCTAATGAAACATGATAATGAATCTATTGTGGGCTTTTGAGAAAGATGTTCTTCCCTTAATAAGAGGGATGAAAAGGAAAGCAACATCTTTCTTCTTTCTGGATAGTCTATTCTGCTTAAACGGTCTGCAACTGCTATCACTACCTAATGACCATATGACTAGGAAGAGTAGAAAGAAAAGCCCTTGAGTCTTGAATAACATTATTGAATTACTGAACCCATTCTGGAAAATATAAAATGCTTTCTGTCCAAATTTCTTATATGTTTATATTAATTATGCAATTTAATATGTTTTATTTTACTAAGGATACTTATTGCTATGTTATTACCTACAGTAGTAAATCCTTTGGTTAAATCTCTCACAGTTGGACTTTTTGGCCACTGAAAGCACCCAAATCATGCAAGTTTCCACCTCACCTTACTCTTATACTGTTCCTTTTATATGTTTGCTTTAAAAAAAAAAACCCACTTTTTTCTTTTACAGTACTAGGGATTGAATCCAGGGTCTTTCCACGAGCTACTTCTCTAGCCCTTTCTTTTTATGTTTTTATTTTGAGACAGTCTTGCTAAACCACTAAGCTGACCAAACTGGGCTCCAACTTGCAATTCTCCTTTCTCATCCTCTCAGACTGCCAGGATTATAGGTGTGTGCCACCATGCTGAGATTCTTTGCTAGTTTGATAAGTTAAAAAAGGTTCTTATAACTTTAAAGTTACATTTTAATAACATTTAAATTCCTTCCTTCCTTCCTTCTTTCCTAACTTTTTCTTTGCACCAGTGCCCCATGCATGCTAGGCAAGTGTTCTACTACTGAACTGTACCCCGGCCCTTGCTTTTTATTCTTATCAATGCAAACTGAGTGGAGAAATGTTTCTGAGCAAAGGGCTTAAGACATTGGCCCTATCCTCAATTAGTAGTTATTCTCAGCTGATCAGGAGTAGGAGTGGAGAGGTCTTGCTGGTATTTCAAACCCAGACAATAGCTACTGAGTTTGTACCTTCTCAAATCGGGACTCCGCGTTTTTTACCAACGTTAGCAGCAACTCTCCGGCTAATTGCTGGGTGCAAGTATGCTTCAGGTTTTTTAGGCCATTCAGTGTAGTCATTACAAACTGGCAGAGCTCATTTGAATTCAGGAAAACTTCAAAGATCTGAAATGATTTAGGAAAAGTGAACTTCTAAGAAATATGTTATGATAGAAAGAGCCATGAACAAAAACTAGATTTTTTTTGTTTGTTTTGAGACAGGATTTTGCTATGTAGTTCAGGCTGGACTTGAACTCACTATATAGCCCAGGCTAGCCTCTCGAGTGCTGGGATCTGTAATCCTAGATTATGTGCCAGCAGGCCGGGCAAAAGCTAGATTTTAAGTTAAAAAGAGAAGTGTACAGATATAGAAGGCGGCTTACTTCAATCTTGTTCTAAAGTGAAAGCTAGAAGGAAACCCAGTGTATACTGCTAGAAGTTGTGCATGATCTTTTACTCTCTTTTAGAAGCCTTATTATGAGGCCTATGGAAAGAGTCACAATTTTGTACAAGTAGGACTAAAGGAAATGACTAAAAGAGAGATGACAGGGCCTGTGGCATAACTAAAATGCCTTGTGAGGAGACAGCATTTTAAAAGATGCCATTCTGCTTCTGTTGCATTTGGGAGTATATAAAGTGCTTCACATGATTATAATAGGTGCAATCTATGGGGGTCACACTATGTGACGGGCATTAAATAAAGCATTTTCCACATGATATCTCATTTAACCCTTGCAATAACTGAGTTATTCTACTTTTACAGATGAGGAAATTGAAACTGCTAAGAGATTAAAATACCTGATACCTTTGACTCTGTAGGTTTTCCTTTTCTTCTAGTCCCTTACATGCATGGTAATTAGTAGATAAGTAAGTATTTTTGAATAAAGAATAACTACATTAATTTAAAAGTGTATGGCTTGGGCCAGGGATTTAGCTCAGTGGTTCTGCTGCCTGCTTTGCAAGTGAGTTTGATTCCTGGTACCAACAAAACAACAACAAAAGTGTATGGCTCATGGCTCAACTACTCTCTCCTGCATTCCTTTTGGCGACATGGATTTACATTTGTAAGCAGCTGGCACTCTGGGACAGCAGAGCTAGTTTGAAGGCAAAGCCATATAGTGATATAGGTCTTCTGGAAGGTTGACTGATGCACCAAATTAAAAGGACAGGTGTTTAGTATTAGGCAGGTAGTTAGACATTAGCGGGTCTGAGGCACAAACAGGGTACTTCAAAGTAGCATGTTGTGCCAGTTATAGTTAAGCAAAGAAAAACCTCAATTTATAATCATGTACTGAGTTTCAAACCCAAAGTTTCAAACCTTGTTCTTTTCTAGAACAGGGCATACAGCATTCTTGGTTGTCATAGCCATAGATCAATGATATCAGGAAAGGAAATGTTCTTTAAAGACCCTCCCACCTTGGGCTGGGACCTGTTTTAACTTAAGACTTCACCTTTTGAAAATTTCTTATATGATTAAGACCTCCAAGGGAACAGTGATCATCTGAAAAGATGTTTTGCAACTCCAAAATAACTTCTAAGAAAAATATTGATAAACATCACTATTACCTTTGCTCCCTGAGCCCCAGCAGTAACTTTTGTGTATATAAAAAGATATCCAGACTTCCACTGGAGGCAGATGCCTTCTCACTTAGAGGCACACATTTCTCTATATCTATTTTACAATACATTTTCCTATTCTTCTGCAGGGTCACCTGTGTATCTTCACTGAATTCTTTCATCAAGGGCACAGAGGACCAAGGAGGTTCATGAGGGCCAGTTCCTTGTGACTAAGAATCTGCTTTCCCTCTGATATCTTTTTTGTTCTATGACTCCGAAAGGTGATTTAGATCTAACTGGCAGGTTACCCTACCAACTAAACTAAGAGGATGAGTGTATGAATCATAAACATGATTCCTTGGGCTGGGGATGTAGCTCAGTGGTGCTGTGCCTGCTGGGCAAGCAGAAAGTCCTGAGTTCAATCCCTGGTATGGGAAAAAAAAAAAAAAAAAAAAATATCTTGTCTCCAAACTAGAATGTTTAGGGAGCACATTCCTGGGCAATCTTGTATGTTTAATTTACAAGAAACTACCACAATTTCTTCCAAAGTGATTTTTTCCCATTTTCCATCTTCATGAACAAACAAAGGATATTTCTGGTTGCTCTCCACACTCACCAACATTTCAAGCTGTGTTTATACTTTTAGCCATTCAGATTAGCTGGGCAAGTGCTTACTTTGGCAGCACGTACACTGATTACCTGGGCAATTTTGAGAGGATCCTGGTAAAATTGTTTAATATCATGGAGTTCTAGAATTTCACAACACCGTTTTAGTCCTCTTCTCAAGCTCTGGTGGTTTGTTTTGTCTTGCGTAGCATCTAAGAAGAAAATATGAAGTACTATTAATTTCTGGCTTATTTCTTTCTTCTTGATTTTATAAGTCTGGTTATCTCCATGTCATAATGGATTCCAAGATTTCACTTAGACATAAATGCCTGGGAGAAGAGGCGGACATTAACCTGATGGCTGATTTGTTTCTCCTTTCTTGTAGAACAATACAAAAAAAGGGCTGAAGGACAGATAAAAGAGATTTTCTTAAGGGCAGAGCTTGTGAGTGACCTGTGAATACAAACAAGACATGCTTTTTCATTTCCCTACTGGTGAGGAAATTTTGAGGAAGCTTAAATCCCCACAAATGTGATAATTTCATTAGCAGATGCCTTTAGGCAGCTAGTTTTGCTGATTCTAGAATCTGCCAACCCTTGGATAACGCTATAACCTATATCTGTCTTTTAGGGGAAAAAATGTTTTCAGTAGACCTGCCCTTCTCCCTATTTTTTTTTTCTTTTCCCAGTCCTTTACCAATCTGTCTCTTTGGTATTTTAAAGGAAAGCTTCCAAAAATACCCCACTCTTCTCTTTAGCTGATTATGAAAAAGCATGCAGAGAAGTAACTGTCTGGAATGAAATGTACAGATGCTGAGTCAGGAGTTAGGGCTTGGGTTAGGGTTAAGGTTAAGTTTCCGTTGATGAGGGAAGAGGGGAATAAAGAATGGTCCAAGGTGCAATTCCCCCTCCTTACAATAAAAGCCCTTCATACCCCTGAGCATTGGAAGATGGAGACCGTAAGCAAGAGACTCTTCTATCTTCTGAGCTGGCTCTGAGTAAACCTTTCTCACTTCACTAAACTTCTGTCTCCCAAGTTTTTGAGGAGTGTCAGACAGTATGGGCCTTAATCTCCAGTAACACACCTTATTTTCGCATGTTTAATGTGTCCTTTTATTTCTGGAAATTTCTCTATTCAAAGCCTTTGGGCCCTTGGTCTAGGATAGTATCTCTCCAATTAGAAACTAAGTTCCCTGGGGAAGCAGTCTTGTCTGTCTTTTCAGTGACACATTCCTAGTACAAGGGAATTTTTGTCAATATTTGGTGAATCAAAACAAAACTGTATTTTGGCTAGGTATCTTGGTATACATTTCTCACACTCAGAGCTGCCCAAAGATGGGATGGCTGCCGGGAAGCTTGGAGATTCTGAATCTATTAGCTAAATAAGCCCTAGAAGGTAACAAATGGAGTAAATGAGATACTAGGGGTACAGGGTTAGGTATCTTCTAAATTCCCTTCTAGCTGAGGAAGTCACATATTTGTTTCTTGACCTTACCAGTTTGCTCTCTATTTTTCAAATTCCTCAAGCTCATAACTGCTGGGTGCCCTTGCTCATTCTGTTCCCTCAGACTGACAGGCTATGCTTACCTCTCTCAGTGTGATGTGCTCACCTGTCACGAGGCTAATTTCTCTTTATTCTTGATTACCTTCAGAGACGACTTTTCTGAACTCTACAACTAGACGTGATTTTTCTTTTTGGTAGTACTAGGGACTGAACCCAGGGCTTTCACACTGAACTATACCCGTAGCCTTTTTGTATTTTGAGACAGGGTCTCACTAAATTGTCGAGGCAAAACTTGAACTTGTGATCTTGCTTCAGCCTCCAAGAGTGTTGAGATTCTAGGCATGTCCCACTATGCCCAGCTAGTGTACCTTTCTCTTATGAGCTACTGTAAAAATCTTTCTAAAACACAGAGATGGAGGACACAAGGAGAGCCAGAGATTATATTATGCCCAAAAAAGGACTCAGGGCCTCGCTGTCTTCAACAGTGCCTTACACTTCAGTCTCAGGGTGAGATGCAGCAGGTAGTATGTGCCTTCTGCAGCCTCCTCAGTGACCTCTTTCAGTGGGTCCCCACATAGCAGTGCCATCACAGCTACTAGATGTCCAAGGCTTTGGAATTGCAGTGGAAGCTAATTAAAAAGAAAAAATAAATGACATCAGAATATAGGTAAATTTAGTGTCTTAAATTTGAGTTATTGACAAGTAAGGACACTTCTTCCCTGAATTTAAGAGCAATATTAAATCACATTCAGCCTTTAGATCTCTGAAATCCTAATATTTAACATGTATAGATACAATGTATCTAGCAAACAGTCTTAAATAGGGCAATTGTAGCCTAAGTGAACAATCTAAAAAATGAAAAGGCTGTATGCATAAAGATGTTCATTCTAAACCAGGTGTGGTTGTGTGCACCTGTGATCCTAGTACCTAGGAGGCTGAGACAGGGGATTACTGTGAGTCTGAGGCCAGCCTGGGCTACATATGAATGAATTCAAAGCCAGCCTGAACTACACAGTGAGACTCTATCTCAAACAAAACAAAAACCAACCAAAAAAAGTTCATTCTAACACTGTTCTTAAAAACCACTCTGGAAATAACAACTCAATAATGGTAAAGAGAACTATGATACAGCCACTCTATGAATGCAATCATTAGAAACCAAGTGAGAAATTTACAATAATGGAAAATGTGCTACTCTTCTAAGCAAAACAGTTGGATGCAAAGTGAGATATAGCATTTAATATTATTTAAAATTTTTATTTATTGATATTCAGCCTAATTATGGAAAGAAACATGTAAGGTAGCTGGCAAAAACCATACCATAAAAAGAAATATAACAATGTAGTGAAGACAATAGGACAAATTTAAAATTAAAGCAGAAAGCAGAGTGCCTCACACCTATAATTTCAGCTACTTGAGAGACTGAGACAGGAGGATCCCAAGTTCAAGGCCAGCCTGGGCAACAAACCAAAATCCCATAAATAGACAAACAAAACTAAGGCAGAAAAGATCAATTAAGAATTTTGTCAGCATGCAGAATGTGTGTCACCATTTGCTCAAGGTAAGCCAAAGAGTGAGGCTCTGAATTTTCTTCTGCTAACACAGATTTACACACAATGTCCTGTACATGATTACCACTGACCATAAGAAGCAAAAAGCCATACAAATGAAGCACATGTTTTCCTTAGACTGAGGCAGAAAGAAATTTCTTCAGTGGCTCTTCAGAAACAAGACACCAGTGATAGAGAAGACTTTTATAAATAGCAAAAACCTAGTGTTAGAACGTAAAGTGGCTTCTGCTGTCTCTAATAGTAGTTTGCTTTGTTTAGCTCAGAACTAACAGGCACCAAAGGCACTAACTGTTGAATGAGGCACTTGGTCTGACCCTGCGATAACAGGGCACATCAAGGTCTTGAGCTCTGAAGAGACTGGAGCCACATGATCGTAAAAGTGTCAAGATGAAAAGGACCATGGCTAACATTTGCTCCCCTGACCCTGAAAACCCCTTCCTATGGGCTAGAATAGATAACTAGGCAAATCTTAAAGGTAAACTCCCCTAACTACAAGGAATTATTACATCTGGGTTGAAAGTTAACCATCCTGTGACCGTGATTTGCACTATGAGAATGAAATGTAACCACCCAAATGAAGTCAAGACTGTAAAACACTATAAAAGGAGGAGTTGTAAACCAGTGCATTGACGATCCAGGCACTGCTTATGTGCGTTTGACCCTCGTCGATGAGTAAATTTGTTATTTTACTTCTGTTCTGCTGCCTCTCTGTGTGTCATTTGCAAATTCCTACCGTAACACCAGCTCTTATGGACTTTTTAGAGTAAACACAGAAACACTTATGCAAAACTTTATAATGTCTTTAATTCATTAGAACTATGATTGGCATTGGAGATAGAAGCAGGGAACAAAAGAGAATATCTCTGCTCACGAGGTGATAATCCAGTTGAGGAAGCATTAAATGAACAAAAGAAATAACTAAAATTTGTTATGTATCAAACAGTGATAATTTATGATGAAGGAAACACAGGGGAAAGGGGTAGGAATTGTTACCTTAGAATGGGAACTGAGCCTGATGATTCTGGGAGAAGAGTATTACAAACACAGGGAAAGCAAGTGCAAAGGGCTGAGGCGGAAGTGTTTGGTATTCATAAGGAACATCCTAGCATTGTAGCTAGGATGCTAGAATAAAGAAAACAAGAGGAAAACAGGAGATTGATGGAGAAAGGGCTAGAATAATACTTACAAAACACGCTAAGGATTTGGACTTTATTCTGGGCAAGATAGGAAGCCATTAAAAGATTTTCAGCAGGAAAGGGACTTGAGCTTACTAACATTCATTCACTAAGTATTTCACCGAGCATGAAGCATGTGGCAGATTTTGTGAAAGACACTGAGGACTCTGCTGAATAAGGCAAACATTGACACTGGTGGTATTTACATCCTATTAGAGAAAAACAGCTAGTAAATTAATAAAGCAAGCAAAGCTCTGGCCCTAAGAAGCCCTAGGAAGGAAATAGAGATATGAGAGAGACGGTAAGGGCAGATCTATTTGTGAGCAGCAAGTCTTTTTGGGGTGGAGACATTTGGATTGAACTCCAGAGAAGGAAGAAGGGCCAGCCAAGTGAAGAGCTGGGAAGGTCATTCCAAGCAGAGGAAGTTGTAAATGCAAAGGATTGAGACAACAAGTGTGGCTGGCAAGTAGCGTATTACCCGGTACAGAGAGACAGGCAAGAACTAGGTCACACAAGACCTTGTATTCTAATGACAGCTGGATATCCCTGGATCAAGAAAGTGACATGGAGGAAAAAAAGACGAGAAAAGAAAGCAAGAGCGTGGGTACAGCTCACAGTTAAGGGGATTTGCCTGCCTAGAATGTGCAATGCCCTGAATTTGATCCTCAGCAACACAACACAGGTGTGCACATGCAGAATAGTGATGCTGACTCTTAGGAAAGCAATTCTGGCTACAAAGAGAGCAAATTGGAAGAGACTAAAGTAGTCAACACTCAGGCATGAAAATGTACTGGGGAGGGATATATAAAAATGTCAGTGGTGCCTATCTCTGAATGACAACAACAAACTAATAGTTTTTATTCCTTCTGTTTTAAAGAAGTTAACATTTTGTATAACAAGCATATTTATATTCTTTTTTTTTTCTCTTTTTGGAGACAAGGTCTCTTTACATAGTTCAGGCTGGTCTTGAACTTACTAAGTATCCCAGGTTGGCCTCCAGGCGCAATGATTCTCCTTTTTCAGCTTCCCAAATGCTGGGTTATAGGCGCACACTGCCACATCAGGATCACATTTTCCTCTCTCTCTCTCTCTCTCTCTCTCTCTCTCTCTC